TACATGTACAGTTGTAGCTTCCTTTGGTGTTATTGCACTCCGCTTTGCTACTGCAATTATGAGTCCCAGCTGCACATTCGTCAATGTCTGAAATAACGTTGGGAAAGAGATTATGATGTCAATTTTTACTGGAATTACTACTGTAAATGTTTTATTTCTTTTGACGATTGTCCGCCTGTTTTATGAAGTGTGTAGCCGGCGACAAGCGAAGTCCCACTAGCTCCAATTATGATCAATTTGTTGAAGACAAAACGACAGAGAAAAAGGTGATACTACTATTCCTGCAAACTCAGCCAACCCATTGAAATAATGGCAGTAAAAAGCTCATACTTTTCACTAACGTTTTTGTTCAAGTAACGTAGTTTTTCCTGTTCATTTGTCAACTATCATTAACATTATCATAATCATCGTCGTCGTCATCATCATCATCAAAATCGTCATTATTATTGCACTCGGCTTATCATAAAGATCGTCATTATTATGATTTATTATTATTATTATTATTATTATTGTTATTATCATTATTACTATTATTATTATTTTTATTAATATTATTATTATCATCATCAGCTATTAAGGGCGATTGAAGACAGGTTTACTAAACCTGTCTTCAATCTTAAGGAAAGAGGCATAGAACAAATAAACATCGACGGTAAGATATGAATCAATGATCACCTGAGCAGTTTTGACCATCTCCAGTGAAACCTGTCTTACATGTACAGTTGTAGCTTCCTTTGGTGTTATTGCACTCCGCTTTGCTACTGCAATTATGAGTCCCAGCTGCACATTCGTCAATGTCTGAAATAACGTTGGGAAAGAGATTATGATGTCAATTTTTACTGGAATTACTACTGTAAATGTTTTATTTCTTTTGACGATTGTCCGCCTGTTTTATGAAGTGTGTAGCCGGCGACAAGCGAAGTCCCACTAGCTCCAATTATGATCAATTTGTTGAAGACAAAACGACAGAAAAAAAGGTGATACTACTATTCCTGCAAACTCAGCCAACCCATTGAAATAATGGCAGTAAAAAGCTCATACTTTTCACTAACGTTTTTGTTCAAGTAACGTAGTTTTTCCTGTTCATTTGTCAACTAGCATTAACATTATCATCATCATCGTCGTCGTCATCATCATCATCAAAATCGTCATTATTATTGCACTAGGCTTATCATAAAGATCGCCATTATTATGATTTATTATTATTATTATTATTATTATTATTATTATTGTTATTATTATTATTACTATTATTATTATTTTTATTAATATTATTATTATCATCATCAGCTATTAAGGGCGATTGAAGACAGGTTTACTAAACCTGTCTTCAATCTTAAGGAAAGAGGCATAGAACAAATAAACATGGACGGTAAGATATGAATCAATGATCACTTGAGCAGTTTTGACCATCTCCAGTTAAACCTGTCTTACATGTACAGTTAAAGCTTCCTCTGAAGTTGTTGCACTCTGCCTTTTCACTACAATTATGAGTCCCAGCTGCACATTCGTCAATGTCTAAAATAACGTTGGGAAAGAGATTATGATATTCATTTTTTTTCTGGAATTAATGTTTTATTTCTTTTGACGATTGTCCGCCCATTTTGTGAAGTGTGTATCCCGCGGTAAACGAAATCCCACTGGCCCCAATTATGGTCCATTTGTTGAAGACACCAAAACAGAGAACAATAAGGTGGTACCGCTGTTCTTGCAAACTCAACAAACCATTTCAAGTAATAAAAATGTAATACTTATCACTAACGTCTTCGTTCAATCAATGTTTTGCTGATCATTTTACCTTGACAGGTGTTACCGTCACCCGTAAAACCCTCTTTACAAGAACAAAGGTAGGAGCCAAGCGTGTTCTTGCAGATTGCGTTGACGTCACAAACTGGTGGCGTCTTCAAGCACTCATCATCATCTAATGGTATAAAACAGACAGCATAAGGAAAATGTGAGCTATTTCTTAATCAAGTACGCCATGCATCTGCAGAATACAAGGACGACTTTTTTTCGATATGCTTTTGGCAGCATGTATATCACTCATGTTTGATCTGACTCGTTTCGTTTTGGAACTACGTATCTCGCTAAACCTCGTGAAAACTCGGCCCGTTGTTGCACCGAAGTTTAGCCCTGCTAGCGGGACAAACTAATCCAGGAAATCAATTGAGACTGTGTTTGGTGTACAAAGTTTTATATATTTCATACCTTCACGTTTCATGTAGAATCTCAGTTCATCCGTCACAAAATGATCAGGTTTCTCCTCCTTGGTATGGCTGTTAAGCTCGCACACTTTGCCCGGAATGTAAAAATTGTAACTCGCACACCTGGGGTCTCTTTCACAGGTGTTTTGGCAATCAACAATTCCCGTCACTGCAAACTCTTTGAAGGTGTGACCCTTGAGAGCTTTACCAGGTGCTGATCTCTCTGAAGTTTTGCATTGCCCACCAACAGCCTCACTTCCATGCATCTGGGATATAAGACAAATTGTGAAAAGTGCCAGGGACATCATACAGCGTTTGAACTGGGGGTTCTGAAACTTAAAAAGAATTTAGAATAAGCATTAAGATATCTGAGGAGTTCCTCGAGTGATGAATTCCCACTTCCGCAGCAAGCTCAATGACAGATATTCCACATTGGTGCCCTACAGAGAGGCACCTGACTCCCGGGGGGTACTCCGATCCCTCTAATCTATACGGTAAGGCTCCGCCTTAAAGTGGCTCCTTTTTAAGGCTTCAGGTATATAAAAGGGTAGGGATTTTAAAAAGACCTAAAAGGGCTAACAAATTCCTTTAATTTCTTTCACATGGCTGTAAAATAGTCAAGAAATCGTTTTGGTTTTGTATTTTATTCATATTTTAAGAAAATATATTTACAGCAATCAAAAAGGTAGGCAAAGTTCTAAACTAGATATGTGAAAGGGGTGCCATGTCTGGTAAAAGTGGAATATAAAGAGGTAAGGGGGGAGTGACCTCGGGTCGTATCCTCCCTGTACAAGGCTCCTGCCCCGTATAGATCTTTGTTAAGTGCCTCCCCACCCCCCGGGAGTATTGGTTCTTCTTAGAGAGGCACCAACTACACGTGTCCACACAAAGTTCAATAAGTTTGGGTGAAACCTTTCTCCGAGTAGCAGCTCGCATAATGAAAACTTGCACAGACCTGAGTCTTTACGAGGTCATTTGCATAATTATCTTTTTTTGTCTGCCAAATTCTGGACTTAACTTACTAATCCGTTAAGAGGTTTATCTTCACGGGGGTCGTTCATTCGCACTTGCGGTTTCATCAATTTGAAGGGTGCACCATCCTTTAGACAGCTAAATAAATTATTATTTTTTTCAAACAAATTAAAAACGATATCGTATGTAAAATATATATTTACAATTTACGATTAACTTTAAGAAGAAGCCTAATGCTCCTCACCAAGATTTTCTAATTCTACGGATTATTTTGGTCTATTTTTTGTAATCATCGAAAACATGAAAGTGAAGTACATATTGACTTAAAAAGGCCAATTTACCTCCAAACGACAAAGTCTTCATAATTTCTTCATGAAATGTTATTTCAGAGGAACTTTAAATGATCTCAGATTCACTAGTTATTTTTTTAGAAGATTTTGAATAGCAGTTGGCAATTTGAACTTCTAGCACAGTCATCTCGATTTAATTTTAACCAATGAGCCCTATAAAGGAATAATATATTCCGGAGTTCTAACTAAACACTAAATTATTGAATAAGGCTGAGTAAGATACGAAGAATTATGTGTCACTCTCCGTTTTCAGCCTCTTTCCAAACCTTTTCTTTGACTGCTCGCGCTTACTTCAATACGCAAAAATACGGACTGTTTTGCAGTCTAGGACCTTATTTATTCATCCGTTAAGAGGTTTATCTTCACGGGGGTCGTTCATTCGCACTTACGATTTCATCAATTTGAAGCGTGCATCGTCCTTCAAACGGCTAATTGAGTCTTTTTTAAACAAATTAAAAACAATATCGCAATCCATATAAAATATATATTTAGAATCTACCATTAACTTCAAAGAAGAAGGATAATGCTCCTCACCAAGATTTCCTAATTCTAAGGATTATTTCGACAAGTTCTTTTTTTTAATCATTGAGATCGTGAAAGTGAAAGACTTGTTGACTTAAAAACGCTAATTTATCACCAAACGACAAAATCTTCATAATTTATTCGTGAAATGTTATTTCAGAGGAACTTTAATGATCGTAGAGTCACTAATTTTTTTTCCAGAAGATTTTGAATTACAGTCGGCAATGTGAACTTCCGACACAGTCATCTCGATTTAATTTTACCTAATCAGCACTATATTCTGGAGTTCTATTTTTACAGATATGGAATAAAGCTGAGTAAGATATGAAGAATTGTGCTGATGAAAGCGGATTCGATGTTATCCGCCTCAGCAGGCAGCCTCCAAGACCTGCATGATTCTTATTCTTATTCTTTCATATGGAAAATTTACCAAACCCACCTAAAGCCACAAACTTGATGTAATTTATTTAGTAGATGACTTTTAGGAGCGGATCTACGTAATAATCAACCACAAGTCGTTGGAAATAGTTAAAAATGATTTTGTTCCTGTGACAGATGCTTTACAACACTTTGTTTTACGTCTGCTTGGCGAAGAAGTACCTGCTTTCTATCCAACGATTTTTTTTCTCAGTCCCGGAATGGACCAAAATAGAGAGAAAATACATACAGCAGAATTCATTTTCAGACTTTCATGTAGTCAAAAATAGCTGATTGCCATGTAAAGAAATCTTAAGCGTTGTTATTTACCGATCTTAAGTCAGAAAAAAGTTAGATTACCAAATTCATTTGAAAGTGTTTGTCATCATATACCAGAACCGGCTACATCTCCTTAGAAACAAAAAATGTCAAATACTGTATATCTAAGGGTGCTCATTCATGAAAATCTCTCACGAAAATACCATATCGCAAATAGGTAAAACATTTTGGCGTTATTGCTATATTTCTTATTCTTATCTTTTCATATGGAAAATTTACCAAACCCACCTAAAGCCACAAATATGTAATTATTAGCTAGATGACGTTTAGCGGATAAATCTTCGTAATAATCAACCAGATGTCTTGGAAATAGTGAAAAATGTGTTTTTCCTATAACGGATACTTTACAACACTTTTGTTTTACTTTTGTTTTTCTATCCAACGATGTTTTTCTTAGTCCCAATGGAACGAACCAAAATCAAGAGAGAAAATACAGCAGAATTCATTTTCACAGACTCAAGTATTCAAAAATAAAGATTGCTATGTGAAGAAATCTTAAGCTTTGTCATTTATCGACCTTAACTCAGAAAAAAGTTAGATTACCAAATTGATTTGAAAGTAAATTTCACCATATACCAAGACCGTCTACATCTTCTTAGAACACACAAAAAAAATGTCAAATATATCTAAGGGTGCTCATTCATGAAAATCTCTCGTGGAAATACCATGATATCGCAAAGAGGTAAACATTTGGCGTTATTGCTATACTAAAATTATCCACATTCTGTACCACTCTATACTCTACCACATATAAAGGGTACCTACCAAGCCTTATTTATTACAATTGGCTTGAAATTATTTTTTTCTCCAATAACGCATTTCGCCAATGCACATCGCAGTACGGCAGATGTCACGCAATACCTTTTTTATTAGTACCTTGGTAGATCCATCCTCGAGGCCGGACCGATACTCAGAGTCTTGGAATAACTGAGTGAGGGCCATTGTGTGTTTTTGTATGTCATGTAAAAGGCCAGACCATCTTGGACTCTGATGAACACGTAAAGTGGCGGTCCCGTCTTCACTGACAGGAGACGTGAAAATCGAGTGTTCTCAGTTAGTACTTTCGTGCTAGACATTTACAATCAAATGAAGAGTTTTTTCTGTTGTTTTTTTTTTTGCGTCTCTTCTTATTTTTCTTTCATTCGATGGCTCTAAAATTTTAACACCTCTTTTCTAATATATTTTCTCCTCAGCTTAATATTCGTCACTACCAAAACAAGATAGGCTTCAAGTCAGGACTTTTTTTCTTGTTGCAAGTTGCTGAAGACCGAAAGAAGGTCTTTGTTTCACAAAACTGAGTTGTTAAAATTTGCAATAGTTTACCTTCCAAATTGATTTTTAATATCATTTTACTCCAGATTTACTCCAGGTGTTTTAATCTGAATACTTTCAGAGGAAAATGATGTATTGTTTCGCCCAGTTTGAACTGAAAAAGTACCTAAAAATTCGGATTCTTCGTAGTTTTTTTTTTTATATACATGCTCTCTAAAGCTTTATCTCATTAAATTTATTTTATGCTGTTTGTTCAAAAAAATGTAGTTAACTTATTAAATATTTTTTCTCCTTTTCCCTCAGTTTTCTTTTTCATATAACTCTCTCAATTTTGGAAATATGCTTGTTATATAACTAATATAAAAAACCAAAACCAGATGTCTTGGAAATAGTGAAAAAAAAATTTTTTTTCTATAACGGATACTTCACAACACTTTTGTTTTACTTCTGCTTGGCGAAGAAGTACCTAATTTCTATCCAATATTTTTTTTTCTCAGTCCCAATGGAATGAACCAAAATAGAGAGAAAATACAGCAGAATTCATTTTCAGAGACTCTTGTAGTCAAAAATAACTGATTGCCATGTAAAGAAATCTTAAGCTTTGTTATTTATCGATCTTAAGTCAGGAAAAAGTTAGATTACCAAATTCATTTGAAAGTTTTTATCATCATGTACAAGGACCGGCTACGTCTCCTTAGAACATACAAAAAAGTCAAATACAGGGTGTCCCAAAAGTTCGTTCGTCTAGATTCATGCTCTATAACTTTTAATCAAAACTTTATTCTTGCATGAAATTTCTAGAAGATGTTTATTGCTCTATCGAGTACATGTATTCAGAATTTCATTAACCAGCGTTCCCCCTTTGTTTTTTTGTCACATTTTGTAGCGGTTGCGGGCACAGATGATCTATTTTGAGCTCATTTATCACCTGGTATGCAGAAGCCACTTCTCCACTTCGACTCCCCCAAACAACATTTTTTTTTAGTTTAGGCAGCTGAAAAAAATATATACTTTAAGCATTCATCCAAAAACTAAAAGATAATGATCCCAGCCCCTATCCACAGCAACGCTTTTGTACCTCTTTACAAATTTGAGACGAGCCGCGTAAAGTGCCTCTTCCGTCCCTAATATAGGAGACGTGAAATTTATTAAGTGTGCTCAATTAGTACTTTCGAGCTAAACATTTACAATCAAATGAAGAGTTGTTTTCTTTTCTTATTCAGTCTCTTCTAAGTTTCCTCCATTCGATGGCTCTAACGTTTTATCACCTCCTGTAATAAAAAGCTGATATATTTTCTCCTCAAGCTAATATTCCTCACAACCACTAAAAAAGATTAGTTCCAAGAGGTCATAATTTTTTGCTGAAAGTTGCTGAAGGCTAAATAAACAAACAAAGTATTTCTTCAGGAAAAGTTGTTAAAATTCACAATAGTATACCTTCCAAATTCATTTTTAATGTCATTTACCCT